AACTAAACTGCCTTTAACTATTAAATGGCTTTATCGATAAACTTTGAGTTTGCAATAAAATGATTTCAAATTCTGGCTTGCAAATAACTTTGGTCTTTGCTTTATTTTTATTTAAAAATTCAATATAATAAAAAAGGGAATCAACATTAAAGTTACACTGAAATTTATATATGCTGTCTTGTTTAGTTGTTTCATATACGCAAAGGCCGTCGGGTTTTAAAGCCATTATAAAATCAATATTTAAAACAAACTTACCTTCGTTAACGTCGGCTCCCTTCTTTTAGCTGATTCTTTCGCCCTTTCTTTCTTGAAATTTACAAAATCGTGCAGAAATACGAGCAAAAATGAAATATATTTGCAAGAAATTTATCAATCATCAAATCAAGAAATGTTTGCTATTTTGCTGTCGTCATGCAGTCGTTATAATGCAAACTTTAAATTGGATCAATCAGTGTCCGTTATTCATGACAGTCCGCCATAGTTTTGAGATCAGTGAGGATGACCACCCATCGTTGGTGACCGACGCCCGCGCTCATTGATGAACTTTAGACTTCGCTAATGCTTTCGTTTCCCCGGGTGTAAATAGCCGGGGGGAATTAGTACCCTCGCACGGCGCTTCGCGCCGCCGGCTCGGGAAAAATGCATAGGAAAAGTTTTTTTTACGAAGTTACCACTCATTTGATTTTGTTTTTCGAACAAACGTTTCCACTCAAAAGCCCTACTTTTACCGCTAATTGCTCCCTGTTATTTACTGATTAGACGCGTGCATATTATGTCATCGTTTGCTAAAGTGCGGTTGTTATTCTGACTAATTTTATACTATGTGACTGAATTTATAGATCTAAATAACTTGTAATATCTTAGAAATTCCTATCTCTAAAAATCGTTTCGTGTTCGTAGCTTAAAGCTAAGCCATCATGCATTAAGACCATTACACCATTAACACCATGCAGTGTGATGTGTCTGGCATGACTGCACTAGCACATTATTATTATTACGCTTTCCTTCAAACTTTTAGCTCTTGGCCGCAATGAAGAATTTCGATACAAATAAATTATGCAAACTAACTATAAATACTGACAAACACTTTTAGGATCTTGGTTTTAGAAGAACCTTCACGATTTCCGAGCTTATAGTGATAAAGTAAACTATGTTTTCGAGGGGGCCAAATTTCCGAAGGGGAGGGCCCGGGGGGGGGGGATTTTGGGGGGCCAAATTTCCTGGGACACCGGCATGCAGGATGCGCAGCATGATGCAATTATTTAGATCAGACCAGGAGAAAATAAGAACTTTATTAATATAATGGATGTGGAGCTGGATATTTCGTCAAGATTTTCAATTTTATTTGAAATTTGCATAATGGTTAAAGAAACAAATAATGCATAACGTTATTAGTCAAAAAATTCTACGTACACGACGTATTCAGAGACGGTACACACATGTACGCCCCGGCGCCAGCCTGTGGGAGGATGGCGCATATGTTACATTAATTACGGAATTTTCGTTGGCACGATGATGTCATACCGACACGTTTCCCTATTCCCGCTTTTGTCTATTATTCTTGGTTTCGAAAAAATCCCCTATTATTCTAAAAGAAATTCCAGCATAATAAGCATGTCCCTATGGCTGACGATTACCGTATTTACTCGATTGAGCGCCGCCCCCGATTGAGCGCTGCCCCGAATGAGCGCCGCATTTGAGATCAAATTTTTTTAAAGAGCGCCGCCCCCGAATGAGCGCCGCACTAAACAGTGTAAAAACTTTCCGCCGTCATCGTTGTCTGAACTGCATGCATGTTACCGTTATTAATTAAAAAAATTTATTTGTGAATTATGACAAGAACTTTTAACTATAAAATAGACAAGTTTTAAAAGGTTTTTGTTACTAAATGTCCCCACTTTGGCATAACCGAAAAAACATCTCTTCCTTCAAGTAAACAATAAACAGTCTGTTCCTAAAAATCTTAGATGTGTAACCAGGATTAGACATAACGAAAAGATGAGACGTTCTCTGGTTAACTCTTTTGCAGCAGGGTCCATTACGCGTAGAACGTGCACGTTCTACGGATGTAATTCGTTCATATCTTTGGTTCAGTGCATGCTATGTAGATGAAAATACTACCATTCGATTCAGTATAAAAATATACACTAATTTATAACGATAGTTTTAGTCAGTGGCTAAATTGTAGCGATTTATGAGCTTTGAAAGTCAAGCGAGCTTGGTATTTGATCAAATTACACAATATTACTAACAAATTATAAACATAGACATACCTTTCGCCGAACATAACTTCGGCCCCTTGAGACGCAAGCTCATTCTGGTAGTCTTGCTGAATGAAGCAGTTAAAAATAACACGTATACTGTTATTTTCAAGCTTCTATCTTTAAAATATGAGTTTTCTTGCCGAATTTTGCATTTCTGCCCCGAATTTGCGTTAATCCCAACCGGAAATACGACGAAAAACCGTCAAAACAATGCGAAGTTTGTATCGCGTGACTCTGGAAATGCCAGAAATGGATTCTACAGGTCAAAGTGCACCCATACGCGTGCGTTTGACGTCATCCCGGCCAAAGGGAGCTCCTTATTGGCCAAGTATTACGTAATACTAGAAGTTACTATCGCAAGGAAAATGCTGCCTCACCCCCAAGGGATGGCACCATGCGCAATTTGCTGAATAAGGGTCTGTTTATACGATCCCGCTTCGCCAGGACGAGATATGAGGCAGGATGATTTCGATGTATTGAAATGAGTCACAGTGCACAATTCAGCAAAAAAACATTACTTTTCTAGAGATAGATTATAGTTACTGTAAACGAAAGGTTGTTCAAGCAGTAATTATAATCTTTTTGAACTACAAGATCTTGTCTACAATATTTGAGTTCTGTTAACAAGCATTTGAACTTTTGTTTAGCCTAGTGACTTATTCCAATACATCAAAAATCATCCCAACTTCCATCATGTAAACAGGAAAAGTCGAAAGATCAGCTAAATGTATATGAATACATTCAATGCTTATAACTTCTTGCTTTTGTATGTATAATTATAACACTGTAATTATAACACTTATAACTTCTTGCTTTTGTATGTATAATTATAACACACAGCCCCTAAGATTGTACTCAGTCAGAACTGCAAAACTATATAATACGATTGTGAGCATTATCAAAAAATATAGTATATACTCTGTCTCTGCGGAGTACTGTAGTGACAGCCAGGTGAATATATAAATGTAGGCTGGTAGGATTATTTCATATTATGCTATTAAACAATGGACATATCTCAGAGATACATTTTTACAGACCGTCATACCTTTTACAAACGTCGGTTGACATGTTATTTACATGTAACTGCTGGTAAGTTAATATGTGCAGACAACAATCCACACTGCATGGGTTGCCAAAGGACTATCTTTGTGCAAGACAGCAGTGGCGTGCTGGCAGGGGGGGCCGGGGGGCCACGGCCCCCCCCAGCTGGCAATTTTTGGGGGCGCAAAAACGAAAAGGGGGCGCCTATCCCACGCCGAATTTTGAAAGTGGGTAGGAAGAAACGCATTCGAAAAAATATAGTTACTAATTCCGCCAAGGAAAGATGTGTTTATAGACTTATAAACAGACTAAGCGCATAGACGACAAAGTGAGTATATTAAATTGCAGACTGTTTTGTCCAACCGTATTTGCTACCTCACGATTCACACGAAATCACTCGTTCATATAGAAACATGATTAGTGATCACACGCAATGTCTCATTACCGGAATATTGATCAGGCTTCGAAGCGAATAAGCGATCGCGGGAATTATGCCCCTTTTTGCTGGTATTATACCCTTATATTATGCCCTTTATTATGCTTCACGAATCACGAGAGCGGCGCAAATTAGAGAGTTGAAGTTATGATAATGTAAAGTTGTGTACGCAATTTAGTTGTTTGCGCAAGAAACATCATGAGTAATGTAAGTAACGAGATATAATGCTGAAACGCGCCCTTTTGGCAGACAGGCAAGAAAACCTTAAAATGCATATGCGTGGGGTCTGTGTGTTATTGCATAAAAGAGCTGCAAGTTGTCAATGTATTCAGATCAGTAGAGAATAGAATTGGGATTAGATTAATTGCTGGAAGTAGTTAGCATTGAACAATTTAAGTCCTACTACTAAATTCTAACCAATTTGCAAATTTCGACACGTTGTAATGCCGTTTCCTGACCATCAGATTTCTGTCAAATCTTCCCCCAAAGTCCAGGAAATGGCTTTTCAGAGACTCTAAATTCTAAAATTTTCCTGGGGAGCATGCCCCCGGACTCCCCTAGACAAACCTCGCACCTGTGGCGCTCGGCTCGATCGTGCCTTCGGCCCTCGTTTATCAAGCGTAATATTATAGGGGCGCATATTGGTTGCCAGCCGACTGGCCCCCCCCAGAAAAATAGTACCCAGCACGCCACTGCAAGACAGACAATTTTACGATACTGCTCAATGCCTCAATTGATATTGCCAAAATATCAATAACAATAATAAACTCTCTCTGTGATTATTTATCCCTTAGAAGTACGATGTTCCATCAAGCCTACGATCAAGCTCAATCAGATTTTTTACAAACTGATATAAAATATCGACGAAGTCCACTTGTTTACTATGAAGACTTGTATGCACCTAAAAATGTAATAATTTAAATACAGTTAATTCATTCGCTTGAAGTTTCAACGCGTATCGACCAATACACATTGTTATTTGTGATCAAACTTTCATCTTACCTTGAAAGTCAGAGTCCATTTGCGAATTGCGATGAGACTATGCCATTATACAGAGGCCATTATGCGCACATGTAACGTGTTTACAAATTGTCATTGTCCATGGTGGTGTTCGCGAGGTTCAACCGGGATATTCGGAAAGTCAAATCGCGATCTGGAGTATGTTATTTTTTTAAATTTCTGTGACGTCAAAATACGTCATAAATCTGATCATCCGTACATTCGTACATGCAAATAAAATGAGTGTATCTAAAAGTCGAGGGTCGAGAGTCGAGAGTAAAAGTCGAGAGTCGAGAGTAAAAAGTCGAGAGTCGAGAGTAAAAAGTCGAGAGTCGAGAGTAAAAAGTCGAGAGTCGAGAGTAAAAAGTCGAGAGTCGATCGAGAGTAAAAAGTCGAGAGTCGATCGAGAGTAAAAAGTCGAGAGTCGGCAAATGTCATCAGAAACAACAAAGTCAAAATATTTTTAACACAATATATAACCGATCCGTAACAACAGCTGATTATAGCCGTACGGGCGGGGGGGGGGAGGCAGTCCCGCCCCCAGTCAAATTAAAGTCTTGCAAATTATAAACGTATAAATTCGGGCAAAAATTGGGGGGGGGGAATAAATTTAAAATTTGAAAATGCCAGAAATATGTAAAAGAAACGAGGAATCGACAAATAGGAAAATATTTTTGTCTACTTCCCAACGACAATTTTGGAAATTTAGTTACACGGAAAATTTTATTCAGTGGGTAAAAGTCGGGTAAATTTCTTTCTGGCTCCCTGATTTTTCCCGCCCGTACGCCCTATGACGGCTGAACTAATTTCACTTCCTGTGTATCGGAACCACAAAATACAATATTTGCGAAACATAATTTAGTATGCTCAAATTCTCGAAATTAAAGTAAACAAGAGGCATATACAATCAAAGGAATAATCCAGTATAATATAAAACAAAAACTTTCGCAAAAAATTTAGCCACAACATTCAATAATAATAACTATTATCTAATGACTAGCTTTTATCACTTCCTTATATATTACTGTCCATCCTTCCCGCTTTTACATGCACCTATTTCCGCGAAAAATTACTCATATGTGAAGCTACATATATTAAAATACTAGGACTTTACAATCACGTGCGAGACATATTACAACCCGATATCACACATACGACAAAAGAATCCTATTTTTACTGGCTCGTATTTATGAATTCACAATTGTATGAATCATTAGATGTGATCAACGTGGATTTCTTAAAACGCTCTCGTTTGATATAAACGTACGTTAATGAATAAGTGACATTTCAGTTACAAGCCTGGAGATGGCTGTCAAAATTCAGCGGAGTTTATGTCTCAGAATGAAATGTGAAAACATTTAGCAAGACTGAGGCATCAAATGCGATATTATTTTCTTATCCAATCTTTTTTGTTCACGTTATTATTATTATTGACTGTTGTAGCAATATTTACTGGAAAGTTTGTATTTCAGCCGTTGGTACTTGTTACGGAATGGCTATGTAAAGCTATATATAGATTGTGCCGGTTAAACGTGGTTAAAAATATTTTGGCTTTGTTGTTTCTGATGACATTTGCCGACTCTCGACTTTTTACTCTCGATCGTCTCTCGACTCTCGACTTTTTACTCTCGACTTTTTACTCTCGACTCTCGACTTTTTAATCTCGACTCTCGACTTTTACTCTCGACTCTCGACTTTTACTCTCGACTCTCGACCTTTACTCTCGACTCTCGACCCTCGACTTTTAGATACACTCAAATAAAATCGAGTTGTCGCTCGGCTATACATAACTCGGCCAACCGGAAACGGACTGGTGCGAGAAAAACACATCGTCAAGAATAGGTGGCTGCCTACGGCAGCAACAATTGCGTGCGAGTAAAACCCGATACCTTGAAAAATTCAAAATAAATATTTCTACTCGCCGTATTCATACGAAACTTTCTATACGAAAGCGCTTGAATACAAAGAGTATTTTACACATATATCCTTTCAGAAAATGACACCAAAGTTTAGAATCTATTCAACTTTTTCTCTTTTTCTCGTTTGAATGTTTGGCGAAGCGGTGAGTATAAATATTGTTTCGGTTTGTGTAATGTTTTGACGGCACTTGACCCCCCGTTCGAAAGGTTATATTGTGAGGATTTCAATGGTGGCATTTATTTAAAAGGGGGGTAAATACTCGCCGAGATATTTATATTAGAAAAATTGAATCGAAATGTAATACGAAACTACCTGATGAGAAGGAGTTAATATATTTATTAATCACAAGCTTTCGGCTACCAGTCTGTAGCCTTCAACGGGTGTATATACAATATGATACAAGGACGCTAAAACTATATAATATACATGTAAATTGAAACTAAACGTGACGTATGTGTATGTGCAATCTGAAATGTGATAGGTGATATTTAATACAATTTTCTTATTAAGGCTGTGTATTGTCGAGGAAGTGGCTTAGAATTGTTATCAGCATTTTTGTCTTTGGCTGTATGCCATGATTCTAAAGTTAGACGGTTCCGAAATTTCCCTTTGTCTATGACTTTCGAGTTATCAAAATAAATTACATGATCACAGTCCCATGCATGCTTAGCAATGTTTGATCCATCTTTATTTTGTTTTACGTTTCTGACGTGTTCAGATTTTCTTGTCTTTAGGGATCTGCCTGTTTCACCTATATAATTCCAAGGGCAATCTTTACATGGTATTTTGTAGATGACGTTAGTCTGTTCTTGTTCCATTTATAATCGAAAAAAGTGATCAATTTTCGAATTTTGAGCTTATCGAGAGCCTTTGTGATAACCTGAAGTTCAGGCCCTATCACAGAATAGGGCCTGACACAAAACCTACTATGGATGTCACCGAAGTGTGCGAGCCACTAAAATTTCGCACGACCGCCACGCAGTGGCGTCGCCAGGGAGGGAACTGGGGGGGACGAGTCCCCCCCAGTTGTTCTAAAGACCAATTTTGAGATTTTTCTAAATCTGAAGAGAAAAGGGGGGGGGGGTACGATTATTTTAATTTCTAACATTTCTATTGTTTTTTCAATAATGGGTGTGATGAATTAATTTGAGATACGAATTTTGAATTCAATTAACATTGTTTTTGATAACGTAAAGAATAACATTATAACATGAAGTACAAATACTTCGTCATCTCAAACCGGAAGTCAAACCTTTGCTTTTGCTCATTGGATTCATATTTTCTTTGGCACCATTTATGGAAATCATAGATCCTCATAAATGGAAGCGCGCGACCCCTTTACGGAGACCGTCAATGAAGCGAATCGAGCATTAATAGTAAATAATTTGGGTCCTATTAGACCACTTATCGAATTTCCCGTATCAACATCTGGGAAAAGAACCTTCAAGTTCCAATCTCGTTGGTATGACCTCCATTCATGGCTAGAATATTCTGTACTGAAAGATGCAGCATTTTGTTTTAACTGTAGGTGCTTCGGGACACTTGGTAAGTTCACTAATATACAAACTCGTGATATTTACAACTTTCAAGCATTTAGGAATTTAATATGAAGTCTGCTATCACTGTTTTTTTAAGAAAATTGCGTTTGAATGTATGATCCTAGGTAGCCCCTAATTAGTAGCAATGTTACGATTGCGATGCATATACAGTATGTAATATCGCAACAGCGACTGAGTAAGTTGGACTACTAGGGTAGGATGTGTCAATATGTTATCTACCGTATTATTCCGTACGTATTTATATAACTGGCGAAGGTAAATAAATAAATAAATAAAGTTTCAATTTATTAAATTTAATAAATTGGGATTAATAACGAGCAACATCCTTTTGCGCCTACTAGACAAAAGGCTTAATAAAACCAAGAAGCGGTTTTGACAGTAAATTAACACTATTTCTACCTTCCGGCAATATCCTAATAGGATTTTTTAAAACATATATGCAGCGGTTTTGACACTATCTGTACCTCCCGGCAATCCGCTATTTTGGGCATATCATACCTCAAGTTACTATATGCAATAGTCACATTTCAAACTCAGTTCATTCTAGTCTGACTGTCAGAAAACCGCTCTTTTCGCCACTCATATTTCGCCACACAAAACGATTTGGTAATTTATCGATGGAGTATAATTTAGACCTAAAACTTAACTTTAGTTGGAAGCTCAGAAGAAAAATTCACAAAGACAGGCTTTCGTACATGGAAAAAAGCTTCTGGCGAAAGTGGAAAACTGGCTAATCATGCTAAAACGCAAATGCATA